CCTCCCGCCCTGTTCTTCAACAACCCCCCCTCCCTCTCCCTCATCTCCCCCATCACCTCTCCCCTCTCCTCCCTCTCCCCCAGCCACTCGGCCGGCTGTCTCCCTGCCATAGAGGCAGCGCTCGCCCGCCCCTCTCTCTTTGCGGCGCTCGTCCTCATCGCCCCTGCGCTCGTGCCGCCCCTGCTGCCCCCCCGCACCCGCCCTCGCCCCTCCCCGCCACTTTCCCCCGTTCAACACTCCGCAGCAGAGACTGCAGCAGAAAGAAGGGGAGAGGCAGGAGGGGTAGAAGGAGCACAAGGAGGGGCAGCAGGAGGAGGGGGAGGTGAGGGTGAAAGGGATGGAAGGGGTGAGGGTGGGGGCGTTGGTCGGCTAGCGGCCATGACAAGTTACCTCTTGTGTCTTGGTATCTGCCGCGTGTTGCTGCTGCTGCTGTCCGTCACTCGTGTTGGCATCACAGCAGGCACCGCTGCTGTTGCTGCGGCCACAGTGGCCTTCGGTGCTGTGCGGCTCATGCTGCAGTCCCTCACTCCACGCGCAGCAACGCCCCTCCGTGCTGACGGTTATTCTAGCACGATTAGTATCAACAGCGCAGAGAGCAGCAGCAGCAGCAGCAGCAGCAGCGGCGGCGGCGGCGGCAGCAGGAGTGGATTAGCTCGAGCGGCGAGTGCCCTATTGCGCACCGTTCAACTCGCAGTCACTCTCATCTGCGCTCTCCCCTTCCTCCTCGCCCTCCATCTCGCCCTCCTCCTCTCCTCCCTCTCCTCCTTCACCGCATCCCTTCTAGCATCGCTCACCTGCTCCTCCCACCCCCCCTCCGCTCTCGCTGCCCTGCTGCTGCGATGCGAGCCCGTGCGACTCATGGTACGCATCCCATCTGCAAACAAACAAAACGAACAGTATATTGAGGCGCTTCTGCACCTCGTGCACCTCGTGCACCTCATGCTCCTCATGCAGCTCGCTATTCGGAAACCTCCAAAACGAACAGTTTGTTGAGGCACCTCAAAGTACACACTTTCTGTACCCATGGTTGACCCCCTCGTTTTCTATGCACTGCGGGTACAGGGAAGGCTGGTTGGAAGGAGGGTGTGTGGGTTTGTGAGGGGTGCGGAGAGAAGCAGTGGATGTGGAGCGGCAGACCATGGTGCAGTGTGGTATGCATGTGTCTCCTACCACTGCAGCACACAGTAACAAGCATCACCCCATACACACGTGTGCATGCATCGTTGAGGTGCCCCCACCTGCCTGCCTACGAGCGTTCTCACCTCCCCCTCTCAAGCGGTCCTTGTACTGATGAAAACCAAGGCACAATGTCAGCAAGGTATGGGCATTACAAGAGACAAGCACAACCAGCAACCTACGGGAGCTCCCCCTCTCACTCTCTTACTCCCCCCTCCTATCTCCGCCCTCCACCCCCCCCTCCCTCTCCCTCCACCAGGTGCGTGCGGTGATGGGTTCGGTGGGAGTGGCAGCAGTGAAGCAGGCGTGGAGCCAACCCTCCCTGTGCTCGCTGGCTATAGTTCAGGGATACACCAAGGTACAACCACTCTGCACCGCAGTGAATCGTGCAAAGTGCATTCATGCGAGCATGGCTGCCACCAGTCGTCATTGCAGCATGCACATCACACATTTTGCCCAGCCCAGCTGGTGCTGCAGGAGGTGTCTGACTTCCTCTTGTCCCCTTGTCCCTTCTCCCCTTTTCCGCTAGTCCCCTTGTCGCATTTTCCCCTTCTCCCCTTGTCGCATTTTCCCCTTCTCCCCTTGTCGCATTTTCCCCTTCTCCCCTTGTCGCATTTTCCCCTTCTCCCCTTGTCCCATTTTCCCCTTCTCCCCTTGTCGCATTTTCCCCTTCTCCCCTTGTCGCATTTTCCCCTTCTCCCCTTGTCGCATTTTCCCCTTCTCCCCTTGTCGCATTTTCCCCTTCTCCCTTTGTCGCATTTTCCCCTTCTCCCCTTGTCCCATTTTCCCCTTCTCCCCTTGTCGCATTTTCCCCTTCTCCCCTTGTCGCATTTTCCCCTTCTCCCCTTGTCGCATTTTCCCCTTCTCCCCTTGTCGCATTTTCCCCTTCTCCCCTTGTCGCATTTTCCCCTTCTCCCTTGTCGCATTTTCCCCTTCTCCCCTTGTCGCATTTTCCCCTTCTCCCCTTGTCGCATTTTCCCCTTCTCCCCTTGTCGCATTTTCCCCTTCTCCCCTTGTCGCATTTTCCCCTTCTCCCCTTGTCGCATTTTCCCCTTCTCCCCTTGTCGCATTTTCCCCTTCTCCCCTTGTCGCATTTTCCCCTTCTCCCCTTGTCGCATTTTCCCCTTCTCCCCTTGTCGCATTTTCCCCTTCTCCCCTTGTCGCATTTTCCCCTTCTCCCCTTGTCGCATTTTCCCCTTCTCCCCTTGTCGCATTTTCCCCTTCTCCCCTTGTCGCATTTTCCCCTTCTCCCCTTGTCGCATTTTCCCCTTCTCCCCTTGTCGCATTTTCCCCTTCTCCCCTTGTCGCATTTTCCCCTTCTCCCCTTGTCGCATTTTCCCCTTCTCCCCTTGTCGCATTTTCCCCTTCTCCCCTTGTCGCATTTTCCCCTTCTCCCCTTGTCGCATTTTCCCCTTCTCCCCTTGTCGCATTTTCCCCTTCTCCCCTTGTCGCATTTTCCCCCTTCGCATCCCCTTCTCCCTTGTCGCATTTTCCCCTTCTCCCCTTGTCGCATTTTCCCCTTTTCCCCTTGTCGCATTTTCCCCTTCTCCCCTTGTCGCATTTTCCCCTTCTCCCCTTGTCGCATTTTCCCCTTCTCCCCTTGTCGCATTTTCCTCTCGTCCCCTTTTTCTCCTTGTCCCCGTATTCCCTGTGCACTTGACTCCAACACAGGAGGCACGCATAATCAGTTCAAGTCAAAATATCGCTCCCACCATGACTCCCTGTCTCGCTCACCTCTCGCCCCCCTTCTCCACTATCTTCCCCTCCCTCTCGCCCCCCCTTGCCTGCGTCCACCCCAGCCCCTGGTGTGTCGCAACTGGGACAGAGCGCTCATAGAGTTTACCATCGCAGCCATGCTCAACCCTAACACTGCTGCCAACCTGCATGCACTCACCCTCCCAGGTGCATGTCACTTCTTCAACTTGCTCTCCCTTCTCCTCCTTCTTCTCCTCTCCCTTCCTCTTCCTTTCACTCCCTTCCTCTCCTTCTCTCCCTTCCTCTCCTCTCTCCCTTCCTCTTCCTTTCTCTCCCTTTCTCTCCTTCTCTCCCTTCCTCTTCCTTTCTCTCCCTTCCCCTCATTCTCTCCCTTCCTCTCCGTCTCTCCCTTCCTCTCCTTCTCTCCCTTCCTCTCCTTTCTCTCCCTTCCTCTCCTTCTCTCCGTTCCTCTCCTTTCTCTTGCATTGCTTGCCTTCCAGTCTCGACATAATATTTTTCGCTTTCTTTTGTTGCACCATTATCCACGATTGTTGTTGCGAGGCTTTAAAGCCCGCATCTCGTATTTCAACCCAGTCAAAGGTATTACCGTTGAAAAACAAGTCGGGTCGGTGGGCGAAATTTAGGGGTGTAGTTGAAGAGGGTAGCGAGAAAGAAAAACAGAATTGCGAAAGGCCTACTCTGTTGTGATCCTGCATCCAGTATTTCACCAGAGCCATAATACATTTGGTTTGAGCCTTCAAAACTTTGGTTGCAATTCCGAGGGCGTTATCTAAGGTTGCGGTTTCATGAATTCTGCAATTCGGTTGCAATTTCGAGTTAAGTTTTGCACGAAGATTAACCTGCCCTGGTTTCAAAATTTTGTGAGAGAACTCGATCTTCAGCACCCGCCCTAGGGTTCGTTTTACTGCTCTGGTTGGGAGCAGATTTCTTCTCTCGCACGCAGCCACGTGCCCGCGCACTCCCAGCAGCTTTGAAACCAGCAGTTTTTCATTCGAATCAAAACCTCGAACATTCCCACTGCGTATGCACATAAATAGCGCTGCTGCTTGAATAAGAGCTATGTTGAACACTTAACACACCCCCTAATGGAGAGTTTTTGGAGGTCTTATTCTTTAATGACCTATTGTGCTAAGAGCAGGAGTAGTCTTAGGGATTGGCCTGCAAGCGTCATATGAGGTAGCACAGATTGGCCAAGTACAGATAGCAAAGTACGTAGGCAATACAGTTTCCTGTCACCGTAATGGTCAAGGCATTTGGGGAAGCAGCTGATGGGCAAGTGAAAATTTCACTGATTCAGGTGACTCAGGGCTCTGACCATGGTGTGTGGATACCTGGGAATGGGATGGAATGGAGGAAAAAAAGTAGTTAAGGGACTTGAATTGTGAGGATTTGAAGGGGCCTGGTCTTCCTTTAACATTAACCACTATGCTTAGGAGTCGGCAGTAAAACGAACCCTAGGGTGGGTGCCAAAAATTGAGTTTTCTCACAAATTTTGCCGCCATGGTTGGCAGTATGGAAGGGCTTGAGCCACACGATATCTAAGTCACTGCGCCCTGAGCTGCTTGCAAGGGATAAGGAAGGATGTGTAAGGTCCTGAGCTGCTCTTAGCCCACTTCAGCTGCGCAACTAGTTTCTTGCTGCTGGCTCGACTGCTGCTGCTGCCTTGACGATTTGTGTCTTGGGAAGACACAGCAGGTGCTTTGTCAGTTGGTCAAAGTCCATGTGGCTACTGGTACCAGGTTGGAAGCCAGAAAAGGAGTGTCCACATAACAGATGTTATGGTTCAGTAGTGCATACACACGTGTTTGTGCATACTTTCCTGTTTGGGCTCTCTCCTGTTCTTCTGCCCTTACTCCTCATATTGCAGTGGCTCCATTCATCCACTCCACAGTCCACAGTTATTTTGGCTCATCAATTTGTAACCAATCTTCAACTTTCCATGTCCATGCCACCCATCCGCAAGTCAGCCAACCTGATCCCGTGTCTCTTTTGTCCCTGTGCACATAATTCAGTCCTTGTGATTGCAGGAAGGCAAGACAAAATTGTACCTCAATGGAATGCCAAGAGTGTAGCAGCTGCAATCCCTGGGGCAACTTTGACTGTCTTTGAAGATTGTGGCCATGTCCCTCAAGAAGAATGTCCAAACAAAGTTTTGGCTGCTATTCATGACTTCATCAAGAAAGTGTTGGAAACCAATTTTTGAAGTTTTATCAGAACTCAGGAATAAATGCAAAATGTGTTGATCGTGAATGACGCTCGAAATCCCAGATAGTACTAGACAGAACAGGCAAGCAAGTAGTCACCACCACACTAGGCCACCTCATCCAGAGGTGCAACTGGACATTAAAAACATAAGCAGGGCCCCAGGAAACTAGAAGCACTTCCTGTGGACAATGCTTGGGCCTGCCTCATCATACTCGCTCTTGGCAATCCACATCTGCGTAATGGAAAAGACGAGTCAGTGCAAGGACGAGTTAGTGAATTTGGCACCCAGACAAGCTTAGAGCAATGAAAAAGGCCGAAGATGCATACCTGCTGGAAGGTGCTCAGAGACGCGAGAATGGATCCACCAATCCAGACACTGTACTTCCGCTCAGGCGGAGCAACAACCTTGATCTTCATGGTGCTGGGAGCGAGCTGGGTGATCTCCTTCGTCATACGATCAGCAATTCCAGGGAACATAGTGGTACCACCGCTGAGCACAATGTTGCCATACAAATCCTTCCTGATGTCGACGTCACACTTCATGATGCAGTTGTAGCACGTCTCGTGAATACCCGACGCTTCCTTGCCCACCAGCGAGGGGTTGAACAGCACTTCTGGGCATCTGAACCGCTCAGAACCAACGGTAATCATCTGGCCATCAGGAAGCTCGTAGCTCTTCTCTAGAGAAGATGAGCTCTGCGACGTCTGCAACTCCTGCTCGAAATCAATGGCAACGTATGCGAGCTTCTCCTTGATATCCCTCACAATCTCCCGCTCAGCAGATGTGGTGAAGGAGTAACCCCTCTCAGTCAGGATCGTAACCAGGTAGTCGGTCAAATCGCGACCAGCAAGATCCAAACGGAGAATAGCATGCGGCAGAGCGTAACCCTCGTAGATGGGGACGGTGTGGGACACACCATCACCAGAGTCAAGAACAATACCTGAAAACGAAGAAGAGATTAGCAGCCGAGACACAGTGCGGAAGCAGCTGCGCGAGAAAGCAGACCAACTTACCCGTGGTACGACCGCTGGCGTACAGAGAGAGCACAGCCTGAATGGCGACATACATTGCCGGCACGTTGAAAGTCTCGAACATAATCTGCGTCATCTTCTCGCGATTTGCTTTCGGATTCAAGGGAGCTTCAGTCAAGAGCACCGGATGCTCCTCTGGAGCGACACGAAGCTCATTGTAGAAAGTGTGGTGCCAAATCTTTTCCATGTCGTCCCAGTTAGTCACAATACCTGGAAAGTAAAGCCACGAAGGTCATTAGAGGGGAATAAAATGGTAATCGTGCGTAGTGCATTCAGCAGCCCTGTTAAACTCACCGTGATCAATGGGATATTTCAGCGTCAAAATTCCACGCTTAGACTGCGCTTCGTCACCGACGTAAGCATCCTTCTGACCCATCCCTACCATCACACCCTGATGGCGAGGACGACCAACAATGCTGGGAAATACAGCACGCGGCGCATCATCTCCGGCAAATCCGGCCTGGAAAATGAGTCCACAATGAATTAGTCGGAAGCCACGAGCATGATACATCGACAATGTCAATGCCACTCACCTTCACCATACCGGATCCATTGTCGCACACAATAGCCGAAATATCTCCCTGGTCGTCGGCCATGTTGAACGCTTTTCACTGCGCCAAAACAACACCGAAGGGAAAAAAACCCACAGTTCGAAATCATCTATTAATAAAGCAGGCTCTTTCTCCGAGTTCGCCTAAATGATGGTGAATGGCAAGCCCGAATGCAGCACAGGCCAGCAACAAATCGCAGATCATACACATGCTCACCAGATGCAGAAGAGGTGCAGGTAGCTAAGGATGAGTTGCTGTGAGTGAGAGATGTCAGACAATGAAGGTAGCAATATAAAGAAGGCCTGCACCTACTCGGTCAGAGGAACAGGGCAGCAATTTCGTTAGGCAACAACCCGTGACCCACGCCACCAGCCCAACCAGCAATCCAACACGTAGAAGGGACGGGGAACGTTCACGAAACTTTTCGTACACGTATCCGACTCCAGAACACCATATTTCGACTTTATAGAGCCGTAGCTTGGGGCCACAACAGTTTACAGGAAACCTTCAACAAACTGAGGAAATTTGAATGCTGACCGGAAATCTCAAGGCACCCCTGCATTCCGCTTTGTGACCCAGCGTCTTGCTCACTAATAGGGAGTGTCCGTAGGGAGCTTCGTGTCACGCAACTTTGTGTCGCGGAGGAGGGATTCCCTACGGACGCTTGGTCCGTTACACAAAGTTCCCTGACGCAAAGATACCTACGGACGCAACCTTAGCATTTCACTTGGACGTGAGTGAAAGATGGGAAGATGGTAGACCACACGCCGCCTAGAGTTATCCCTCGTCCGAGAAAGGCAGGAGAAAATGTGATGAAGCGCAAAGAGCGTGTGTAGAAGGATTGAGTAACGAGGAAACAATACAACTGAGGCAACATCAAAACTCCAAGGGGTTATGGATATAGCTAGCCTAGAGCACACGGTCGTGGCTCGGTAAAGCTGCGACGTGTGGTTCGTAAATTGGAGCGCCCAGATCTAGGCATGAAACAGCAAGACTGGCAAAATGCATGCGGCTCGTCAGGAGGCCACATTTGGGTACCGCAATTTGGATTTTGTTGCAGAGCTGCGCGGCAACCCCGCTATAGCAGTGTACGCCTTGCTAACTAAAACACGTAATAAGAAAATACCATTTCCTTACACCCTCCCCCCTCGAAGGTGTGGTATTAGCTAAGACCGCCGACGTCACACACATTGCGTGACTAGGGGTAGACTCGTACCACCTGATGATTCTCGATCTGTACCAGCGGTGTTAAGATAGGGCTAGGTTAGGAGCTAGGCATAGGAAAGTAGCGAGAGGTTTTAGACTAGGAGAAAATGTCGAGAGAGAAAAATGTTGGACTAGAAAAGAGGGATACAAGAAGGGGGGTTGTACCCTCTACAGTAGGATCCAAGATATGCAGTACACCTACCTAGGCTATACACATATATATATATAATATATATGTTGACACACCCCCTAGGCTTGGTAGGCGATACGCAGATACAGTAATAGACCAGGGCAGTACTAATGGCCAGTCTACTAGTTTTAGTAGTAATGCAGATCAAAAGAAAACACAGCACGCACACAGTACATTAAGCCATACACCCCCCAAGCCTAGCACCCCCATACTCAGCAGCAGCAACAGCTTCTCCAGCATGGTCAACCCCTCGGCGTGCGAGGCGGCTACGCCGACAGCGAGGGCAGCGGCTGCAACGGCGACAGCGACGACAACGGCGACGGCGAGGCCAGCGGCACCAGCTGTGGCGGCGGCGGCTTCGACGACAGCGGCGGCGGCGGCAGCGGAGCTCGCAACACTCGGCGGCGTGGCCTGACTCCCCGACGGTGGGGAAGGCTCGAGCGAGTCAGCCGTTAGCTGCGGCGAGGAAGAGGGGACGCAGGGGAGGGGGGGCTTTTGCAGCGGAGCCAGGGAGCGTGCCGCCCCGTGTGGCACGCTGGCTGCAATGCGGGCGTGCTGGCCAGCGCTAAGACCGAGCGCTGGCCGCTGCCATCCGTGCGCTTGCGGGTCAACCCCACCATGACAACACGACATGGCCGTGGTGGCGGTGCAGTAAGGACAGGAGGGATGAGCGAACGTTGCGGAAGCGTGATGAGCAGGCCCAAGCAGAAGGACCTGCTCTGAAACCATGTTAAGATAGGGCTAGGTTAGGAGCTAGGCATAAGAAAGTAGCGAGAGGTTTTAGACTAGGAGAAAATGTCGAGAGAGAACAGTGTTGGACTAAAAGAGAAAGGGATACAAGAAAAGGGGTTTTACCCTCTACTGTAGGATCCAGGATATGCTGTACACCTATCTAGCCTATACACATATATCTACATATAATATATATGTTGACAAGGAGCACCCAACTGTTTTCCAGGGCCGTACGGTCCTTCCAAGATATTAGAAACTCGATCAAGCGAGCCCCTCGAGGGCCCTTGATCCGATGGCTGAGAACCTTCGAAGGTTCGACAGTATGCTTGACAAACGGTCGGATGTTCAAATTCGCCTGGTGACGTTGTAATTTACTGCTAATGGCGACGTATTGTCAAAGTAATCTTACGTGGAATGGTGGGCTGCCGTTTCAGGTGGCCGGTAACAGTAGACTCATGGGTCGTATCATATCAACCCTAGGGAATTTTTAGAATGTCTTATAAATGGAAAAATAAAAAGAAAAATAAAACACCAACTTGTATATGCTTGTTTATGAAATACATGCTCTGAGAAACTCTCGATTTTTGGTGACAAAAGGGAGAAGAGTCATAAAGTCACCAGTCCTAACCACTACAACAAGAAGGGATATCCTCAAGAGAGTTAGGCTCCATATATCCACCTTCCCCAAGGAAAGCCTCCCTAGTACCCTCCCTAGAGAGAGAAGAGGTTCGACAGGGCTATCCTAGTGCCACGACACAACCCCCCGCTGGGATAGCGTGTACACTAAGAATTGAACCATGGATCGTTTTGATACCAAGGCATAAAGTCACAAGTCCTAACCATTGGGACAAGAAGGGGTATCCTCAAGAGAGTTAGGCTTCATATATCCACCTTCCCTAGGGAAAGCCTCCCTAGTACCCTCCCTAGAGAGAGAAGACGTTCGACAGGGCTATCCTAGTGCCACGACAAGAAAAACGAGCGAGATTCCTGGTTTGAATTCCACGTTGGGAAGGGGAAGCACAAACAATTATTCGTCGTCCGATTATTCCAGGTGGCAGCATCTCGAGCACACATGGAGGAGGGGAGGCACGAAACATTCGTCAAATGTGCCTCCATAGTGTCGAATTTGTGGTTCACTTGAGAAAAAAATGAACTTCAGCACTCAACCACATTTTATTTATATATCAATTAAGCACTCTGGTGGTGTGGTTTTCTTGCCATTGTGAATACCCATACCCCCATGTCTACCCCTAATTATAAGTGTCACTTGGGTTTACAACGGGATTACCGTGAGAAAAGTGCAAAGAAGGAGGGGGGGGAGGGGGGTTCTTATCTCGTAAACCCTCGGGGGTGTCTTCAATTCGGCAGTACCGTGTATAAGATAGAGTCACAATAGAAGTCACTATGTCTTCTATTTGATGGGTGTCTTATATCCGGGCTTTGATAGTAGATGTGCTGTAACGGAAGATGTCATGCGGCTGATAGTAAATGGTCCACAATAGCAGACGCAAAGTTTCGGGACGATGGGCAGTCTAATGTTATGGGTGTCAAGCAGTACTAAATCTCCAGCCTGGTAAGATATAGGGGCCCAAAGTTTGAAACTGTAGCAGGTATCTGAGCAAAACCCAACCATGGTGAAAAGTGGAATTTAAATTACCGTCCAAATCTTACACACCCAACAGATACATGTTTAACGGAAGGGATATGGGCTGTTTGACATACCTAAAAACCAAGAGCTCTTGCCTCCAAGTGAAGGAAATGTTATAGGTGCTGAAAGTTTGGAACTTTGACGTGTATCTGATCAATGCCCAACCATGGTGAAAGTGGAATTTAAATCAACGTTGACATCCTTTACGCCCATTATATACAGAGAAATGGAAGGGCCTTGGGCTGTTTAGCATACCTACAAACCAAGAGCTGTTGGCTCCATGTGAAGAAAAATATATAGGTGCTCAAAGTTTGGAACTGAAGTGTGTATCTGATCAAAGCCCAACCATGATGGAAAGTGGAAACGACATCCACATCTTTTGTGCCCAGTCTTTTAGCGTAAATGGAAGGGCCTTTGGCTGTTTAGCATGCCTACAGACCAAGAACTCTCTCCTCCAAGTGAAGAAAAATATATTGGGGCCCAAAGTTTAAAACTTGGGCATGTATCTGAGCAAACCCCAACCATGGTGAAAAGTGGAATTTAAATCACCATTGTCATCATTTATGCCCATCATATACAGGAAAATGGAATGGCCTCGGGCTGTTTAGCATACCTACAAACCAAGAGCTCTTGGCTCCACGTGAAGAAAAGGATATAGGTGCTCAAAGTTTTGAACTTAAGCGTGTATCTGATCAAAGTCCAACCATGATGAAAATTGGAATTTAAATCAACATCCATATCTTTTACGCGCAACAAAGCCCAACCATGGTGAAAAATGGAATTTAAATCACCGTCCAAATCTTACACACCCGGTATCTTTTAAATTCCACTTTTCACCATGGTTGGGTGCTGAGCTGTGTTGGCACCAGAGGCCAAGTGTACTACGCGGGCCTGGCGACACTGCTGCAGTTCGCGCAAGAGGAAGTACCTCAGCTGGATGTGCTTCATTCTGCCCTCAAGTCAAGGCTCCTGACACAGGAGTATCATGGCCCTATTGTCAGCGTACATAACTGGGGTAGAGCTAGGGCGATCACTACCCTGGTGGCGTTCGTGGTGCACCAGTAGCTTGATCATATCAGTCATTGACAGAGGCTACTGGATGCCTTGGAAACAAGGGCCCCCACAATTTTCCCGGAGCACCAATCATGTGAGGGCCCAAATTCACGAGGCATTTACGAAGTCCGCCATCGCGGATCTCCTCCAAACTAGCGTCGCAGCAAAGGTGCCACAATCAACACTCACATGCGTCAGCCCTCTCAACGTTGTGGAACAGCGCGACAAATGTCGTCTCATCCTCGATCTGCGTAAGGTCAACCAGGAGCTGCAAAATCCCAAATTCTACTACGAGGGACTCAGTCGCGTCGCAGAGTTGGCGCGTGCAGGCGATTGGATGTTTTCAATCGACCTGAAGTCTGGCTATCACCACGTCGACATTCACCCGTCGTGTTGGAAATTCCTGGGTTTTCAATTTGGCGGGCACTCATAC